ATGGATCAAGCGATCTGAGATGCTCAATGCGTGGATCCAATCCGTCGACGGTAGCACCCGCCGCCCCTCGCGGTCGTACAGCGAGGAAGAGCTGCGAGCTGCTTTTGACGTCATCGATGCCGACCAGAGCGGCGACATCGACCTCGACGAGCTGCGCTCGGCGATCCGCGCCATTAAGACGAGCACTGACGACCAAGCCATCGAGCAGATGATTGCTCTCGCAGACGCAGACGGCAGCGGCTCCATCGACTTCGAGGAATTCGTCGACCTCATGAATTTGCGCCGCCGTGCCGCGGTATGACGCGCTGGCGGGGTGCCGTTTGGCTCATCTTTGTACACAGTATCCGGTACCCCGAGGTGCACAACCGAGAGACCGATAAGCGAGAGGGGCAGGGGACTGGGGAGGCCGCTGCTGTGCGCAGTGCAGGCTGTGCGCAGTGCGCATACACACACGAAAAACAGCGGTGACAGCCGAACACCTGTTCAAGCCGTATGGCCGCTCCCATAAAGGCTTAGATAAGGTATATCTTGTGTGTTCCTTCGCGTTGTCTGGGCGGGCGCGCCCCCCACAATCGTTGTCTCTCGTTTTTTCAATAAGCAATAACAATATTCTCTCAATCTCTGTGTCGGTCTGTGTGCGTACTGTCTACTGTGTACTTGGCATGTTGTGCGAGTATGTATGTAACTAGTGAGACGACTCGAGATTGGTTCGAGATTGGGGCAGAGCGAGTGGGAGACTTTTCGGCGGGCGAAATGCGGCGGTTTGGATGCGTCCCCTTTGGGACGACCTGTTGGTACGACCTGTGGGACGACCTGTGGCAGCGACCGATGCCGTCACCGGACGCGGCGGCGAGGCACACGGGCGCCGGCGTGGCGCGTCGGCAGGCCCACCACGAGCGGATGCGCGACGAGCGCGCTCGGGAAGCGGCCGCGGGCGACGCGGAGCTTCCGCCGGAGGACGACGCGGTCGAGATGGCGAGCGCCGCCCAGCTGCTGGACAGCGTGGCGGAGGTGGGCCCGAACTACACCCTGCTGCGCAGCAAGGAGACGAAGGCGAAGCGGCGGAAGCGACAGCGCGAGGATGCCAGGGCGGCGCTCGACGGCCACACTGTCCTGTCCACCGGATCGCGCCTCGAGATCTTCTGCGACAGTGTATGGGACAAAAGCGTCGAAAATGTCCCAAAAAGCGTGTCTCGAGTTTGTTGCAGCCCCACAGCTGGCGCGCGCTGCCAGGAACACCGCTCGCGTGTCGCCGGC